TAACCTCCATCTGATCCAAATCCATCTTCTCCACATCTTTAAGTTTGTCACCATCTCTCAAAGCCAAGTATCTCTTCGCCTCCTCTGGGTTCTTAACAAACCCCTTTGTGTGCGTAATGCCGTCAGGCAACACATAAGTGCACCTGAAAAGATTGTCCTTCCCATGTTTCCTAAACACCCATTTCAAAACAACAAAAACCCTGTCAAGATTTCAGTTAAACGGACCAGCGGCCGACTACTAATAACACCGATACTATCCATTATGGGTCGAATCACTCATTACCACCCACTAGCACAGCAAGGGCGGAATTTTATCACAAAAGGCCTCGATGTCATTAAGGGTATAATCACTCACTCATTACATATTGTTCAATTTTTCGACATGAGATTCTTGCATCTTCAACAAACCCACAACCAAAATCAAATTAAATTCAGAAATCCTAACAAAAAAATTAAGAAAAGCTACGTACTTTGCAATCTGGAGGTCACGATCAACGTCCATGGAAACAAGGCAGAGCTTCTCCTTAACATCGTCGATGAGAAACGTTTCGTCCATGACATTGACGGAGCGGTAAGAGACGAGCTCCTTGAGGTAATTGGTCAATGCCTTGCCGCCCAAATCGATCCGCTTGGCTGCGTAGTTGATGGTGAAGTTCTGGAAGACGGGGGCGGCGTGCGTGAAGGAGAAGCCGCAGTCGACGACGAGGCTGTACTGCGCCTTGATTTGGCGGCGGCTGGCCTCGCAAAGGTGGGCGAGGGAGGGGGAGTTCGCGACGTAGAGCGCCGAGAAGTTGAAGTCCTCGAAGACGAGCTCGTCGGTGGCGCGTTGGATGGAGGGGAGGGCGAAGAGGGGCTCCGTCAGGAGGAGGTAGGATTGAGCCGGGTTGACCCGAAGGAGGGAGGAGAAGAGGTTAGCCCAGATCTCGCGCTGGAGGTCCGGGTTTATTAGGTAGCCGCGGTCGATTGGGCGGCGGACGGCGGCGGAGGTGAGGTCCATGGGCTCGGTGGGGGAGGGGTGGACCCATTTCTTGGAGGATATCGGGCGGTACACACAGTTGGGTATAATGGCCGAGGGGTCGCGCTCGCCGCCGAGGCCGGCTTTGATTAGGCCGCCGCCGTTGTCCAAAACGACGACGTTTTGATGCATGTTCAGGTGGAGGGAGGTTGAGCCCTGGAGTGATTTGGCGCGAGGTTGAGGTTTTGGTGAACGTCTGTGACCCGCTTGGGTTTAAGGAATTTTGTAATGTATCGTAGCAGACATTTTTTTATATTTATTTTCTTTAAAAATCCATAAATATAAACCGCTAACCGATTTTAATACTAATTTACACTAAAAACAACAAAAAGTTTAAAATTCATGACGCAGGGAGTTCAAAACACTCCTAAGTGCAAAAACAAAAAGAAAAACTAATGAAAATAACTTGAAAATTTTAAGTTTTAACGATAAAGACAAAATAAATGGTAAAATGAATAGTATTAAGTTTGATTTTTTAGTGTAAAAATGTGATTTTTCGTTAAAGTAAACAGTACCGTAGATTTTTCGTTAAAACTTCTATTTTTTTATGGTTCACAAAAAACTGTGAGCTATATGATCATGAATTGTGATCTATTTTTTGAAGTTTTGGAAAAAACATCTAAACCCTCGTTTTCATGCAATTTTTGCTACACCTTGAGCTTTTAAATTAGGGTATTGCTATCCACACATGTTTTTTTCTCACACATACCTCTGAATTTTCAACCATCGGATGAAATTAGTTAAAGACGATGAAAGGCCAAAAATTGCCAAGAATGTGCGAGAAATAAAAATCAGTGTGTAGCGCACTATCCTTAAATTATAGTTGGTCAAAATATCTCTAAACGTTCTACATAAACTTTAAGCTTATGGAGCAATAAATATGCCTAAAGTGATAAAATTGTAGCGTATCAGACACGATATCTCAAGCCAATTATACACATTTGAAAACCCAAATTTGCTCTCAATATATAATCCCAAACCTTTTTATGTTATCACTGCATACAATGCATGTAAGTCCAGAAATAAGCACAATGGCAAGGAACCTTAAAAAGATGTAACATCTTCCAAAAGAAAGTACCATGAGAAGGTATCTGCAGCATTAAGCTTTATCCAAAAACTGTAAATTGCTCAGGGGAGGAAAGGCATCCAATGTCAATAGGGCGCAAAGTAGTACCCTCCCGGCTGAGGCATCATCGGTTGAGGAGCACCGCCATAGTAGCCGCCAGAAATCTTAGCCAAACCCAACTGCCCTTGCATCCCATCTCTTCCATATTGCTGCCAAAGCAGTTGTTCCTGTGAAAGCAAATGCTGCTTCCTCTCCATGTCTGCCATCTGCACATATGACGGAGGAGGCACTAAGAGGGAGGCGGCAAACGGGTCCTGCTGCCCCACTGCGTGGACAGTCCCATCCGGGGCAGGCAGAGCCAGCACTGGCATAGCAGACTTGCCTGCCCCCGGCATTGCCACACTACTCGCACTCCCACCACTCAATTGCGAGGTGCTCACATGGTGCTTCACAGCGCCTTGATCATACATGCCACTCAATAACAATGAATCAAAACCACCAGCCAAATCAGCCTTCTGTTTTGACAGATTACTGGCCGTCTCCACCAATGCCAATTCCCAGTCTGCTTTACCACTCTCAGCGGCCGGTGTCTGCCAAGCCGAAGTCATTTCAGGCTCTCCATTTGAAGGGAATGTTTCCCAGGCCCCATTTGTATTAGTAGCAGTAGGAGCCGCAGAGAACAAAGCCAAAGCGAATTTGTTTCCTTGCTCATCAGCTGTGATTCCATCATCCCTCAAATTCACCAAATCCTCTGTCACAGGCTGATGCTGCAAAGGCTTAGGCAGGACTTCAGATGGCAGGGGAGGAGAAGCAGTGTAAATCTCCGGTGGAGGAAGAGCCTTCACCTCATAATTCACATCCTGCTTCACCTCCTCGTCAACCTGAACATTCTCCTCCCTGTTTCTCTCAGGACTCTTTGGCCTCATTGTCTTCCCCTTCAAGAAACCCTCAAGCGACTTCAAAAGCTTATCAGTTATTCTCTGCACCTCCGGGAACTCAGACGAACGAGCAATTCCCATATCCTTACACCAACCATAAAAACCCACAAGCTCATCAATCATCTTTGCCCCATTGACATAAGAATCGAAAGCCTTAGCGCAATCCGCATAATCCATCTCAGTAAACCTATCCAGCACCACCCCCAATGCCTCACATATCTCAACATACAGCCTAAAACTCTCCTTCACAACCTCGTATAGCGTAACGATCACCAACCTACTACTCTTTGCAGCACCCGCCGGCCTGCAACCCAAAATCCGATTAAGAACCCTCAGCAAATCATTCAGCCGCACCAACACCCTCTCCGGCCGCATTTCCCTCACCGGTGTACTATCCTTACTCTCTCTTCTCTTCTCTCTCTCCAATGCGTGATCACTCTGATAATTTTCGTACTCAAATTCCCTCCTTTCCTCTCGATTCGCTCTCTCCCTCTCCTGATCGAATCCACTACTGCCCTCCCTGCCTCTCGATTTCCTCTCATAAACCTCAAACTCCACCTTCTCCTCAAGATACATGGCATAAAACCTCACAAACCCGGCATGATCCCAAGAACCCGAATGCGCCTCGTCACGAAAAGCCGACAAATTCAGAAACCGCACTCCTTTCCGACTGGCAGACACAATCTCCTCCGCAAACGAAGGGTGCCCATCAACCAAAACCCTATGAACAAGCATAAGGGCCTTGAGAGCCACAATCCAATCGTGGGTTTTGCTCAAACGCCTCGACACAGTCGCCACCGCCGCCGTGACGTATCCGCGCGAGTGGGCGGTCAGATTTATGATCTCCCTTATGTACTTTTCATCAGCCGGGTCCTCGTCGTGGGTGGTGGCCTTAACCACCAGAACTTCGAGGTCCGGCGCTATGTTTCCGGCCACTTTGGCCAGGCTAATGCTTGTCTGATCCTTCACCGCCCCAATCGCCTTGCGAATTGTGCTCGGCGCCATTGATGAACTCGATTGAATCCAAGAAACAACAAGAAATGGGGTTTATCAGTAACTTTACCTCTGCTCTGTTCAGGGCTGCGGAGGAGCCGATCGAGAGTGTAGAAGATGAAAGGAGAGATCTTTTGACTTGGGTCTCCGCCGTAGACGGTGGAGATTGAGTCCGTACGGCCGGAATCGCTCAATGGAGCTGTGCTGCGAAAGCAGAGAGCGATCGGGATAGTATCTGTTGCACTCTTCGCTTTTCTTCGAAAAGCGCGTAATCTTAAGGACTAAACCCTTCACTTAATTACGGGGTTTAAATATCAGACGATTAGACGGCACTTGACGGATTGTCGACTTTTTCTTCGACGTTGAATATTCAATGCGGTGGATTTGTCTTATGTGAATGTAACGGACTCTAACGACGGAAGAAACCCTTTTTTTTGTCTAACGCAAACTTTCTTACAACACAATCGTTCGATAAATATTTATCACGTCACTTGTTTAATAAATATTTATCAATAAGATGTTTTCGTATTATGAGTATTAGAAGATGGTTGGTATGTTACTATTTTATTTTAAATGATATTTCTCATTGGCCAATTTCATTTTAGTCATCTTTTTTTTTTTGGACGGAATTCCACTTTCAGTACGAGGGATGGATCATAGTGCCAAATTTATGCAAAATGCGACGCTACTTTGTTTTGCATCAAATCACAAATTTATACAAATCTCGTGGTTGACGAATTCGATACTAAATTAGGTTGCACATTATGTGGTTTAGCCGAACTCTCCCTTCCCTCTTATCCTTTTAGTGTAAAAATATCGATGTGCTAAAAAAAATATGTAGAGTATTGCTAGTAATATCAGTTTAACTTCTTAATAATAACTCGGAAAATCCAGAAAAAATAATAATAAATAATTTGTAAAAGAGAATTTCTAAAAATAATAAAATAAAATAAAACTCACAAAAGGAAAAAACCGCCTCTTCCCGCGAATATCAGCAGCTTGTTAATCTTGGTCCCATTTTCTCTATTATTTCTTCCCCCAACTGAGTCGACTCGGTCAGCCCACAACCCCCATCCCATGTTCATCCTCCGAGTTCACTCAGTGGACACCAACCACCCTCTCAGCCTCGAAGACGCCGACTTCACCGCCGTCACAACTTCCAAGACCACCGCTGCGGCTGAATCTGACCCTAAAACCACCCCCACACCCAAATTCAGCGAGCGAAGAGGAATCGCCCATTTGTTTCGAAAAATCAGACAGTCGTCGCTGCCGTGCCACGCCTCTCGCTCCCCCATCCTCTTCGTCGTTGCCGTTCCCAACTACCTCTCCTTCGACGACTTCATCCGCTTCTGCGGTTCCCGCATCGACCATGTCCTCGAACTCGTATTCATCAGGTACAATGGTTGAGGAAATTTTGAATCTTTCGATTTGGGGTTGTGGGTTTGGTTGCTTGATCAAAACCCTGAATTGGGTTTCTAGAGAAATTGAGGAAAATGCGAACTTGGGTTTTGTTTCCAAAATAATGTGGATAGTGTTTTTGCTTCAATTAATTCACAAGCTTGCATTGATAATTTAAATAAATTTAAATAAATTGCAAAAGAAAATGAAGAGCTGTAATTTGAGCTAAAAATCTAAAGGATCAATACTTTGGACTGAAAGGAAATGTTTGCTTGAAATTTACGTTTCATTATGTTGTGTTTTTGTTTCATTAGTCACCGAAAGAGTCTGAGTTAGTGTTTGTTTCATTGGATTAGGAACGATGGAATGGAAGACAGGTACAGTGTTTTGATTGAATGTAAGAATCGGGACACGGCTGGTGAATTTTATAGCACTTTTAATGGGAGGAAGTATTCGCCTGGAGAGGTAATGAGCCTTTCGTTATGTCTGTTCAACTTCGTGCGTGGTTTATTATCGTATACACAGTGATCTATGTCTGCCCATTCCTTTGGTTTGATATTTTGCAGGCTGAGTTGTGCCATATCCTGTTTCTGCAATCTGTGGACTACACAGAATCAGAAGAAATAGCTGGCATTCCAGAGAATGAATTTACTGAGTTACCCACTTGCCCAGTTTGCCTTGGTGAGTCGCCATTTTCTATGGTGTGCTGGGAGCTTCTTTTTTCTTTTTCTTTTTTTTCCCCAAAAGTTAGAGCAGTTATACCCAATATTTATACTAACCTGGTTTAACTTTTGTTTGAATGTTAGAGAGATTGGATGCAGACACAAGTGGAATAGCGAGTACACTTTGTGATCATTCGTTTCAATGTCCCTGCATTTCAAAATGGACTTATTTGTCTTGTCAGGTGAGTTGTTGTTCTTTGTTCCAAAATTTCCTTTACGTGTTTAAGTTTGTTAGAGATCTTGGTTGAGAGCATTGGTGACTGCAGTAGTAATATTTGTTGTTCCTCGTATATGCTGCTATTCTTTTAGTAGTTGATCTTCAAGATTTTGCAGATTGTTGACCACCTGGTGGTTACCTAAAGGTCTTGTTGGGAGGTTACAGGGTCAGCTTTGTTACCATCCCACTCAAAGTAGCCCTTTTTTTGGGATACTTTTCAGAGTTTTTGAAATCCCTTGGTTCATGTCCCAGCTTGTTGTACTGTGGTAGGGATAACACAAGAAGAATCAACTGTAACCTCCTTTTGGGTAGAAAAATGGATAACAGTCTTCGTTAAAAGAAAGAAAAAGGTGTTTAGTTATTTCAAATTTCCTCTGTGCAGCAGTGATGGTCTTGGGTTTATGAACTTCAGTTTCAATTGCCATTGGCTTCTTCATAACTTTGATATGGTTAAGGATGGCTGCTGATTTGATATTCTGTGTCACCAGGTTTGCCGACTATGTCAGCAGCAGGATGAAAAACCAGCTTGCTCTGTCTGTGGAATATCAGTGAATCCCTGGATTTGTATAATATGTGGTTTTGTAGGATGTGGAAGGTAAAACTGATGTATCGTTCTTTCTTCTTTGGTTACTTCTGTCTCCAAAGCAAGAAAGCAATATAGCTCATGTATTACTTGATGAACTATGACGTTGTCTTGATTAAGTTTATCATGCACAGAAAGTTATTGATGATTTTTTTTTCTTCGAAACAGATATACTGAAGGCCATGCTGTTAAGCACTGGAAGGATACGCAACATTGCTATTCTCTTGAGTTGGACAGGCAGCAGATCTGGGATTATGTTGGTGATGCTTATGTTCACCGCCTGAACCAATCAAAAGTTGATGGAAAAATAATAAATTTTACAGATTCTCATTGTATGTCACTGGAAGAGGCTTTTGACGGTTGTGAATGTAGTGCTGATTCTGGAATTAGTGGAGCCCTCTATAGTAGCAAAGTTGACACTGTATGTACTCTAGCTAGCACCATCTGTAATTTTTCGTTCTCTTATTCACATAGCTGACTTTAGATGTTGTGCTAAAACAGATTGTAGATGAGTATAACCGACTTGTTGCCAGTCAGCTTGAGAATCAAAGACAAGTAAGGCTGTCGCGAAACCCCACTGAACCCCTTCTTTGTGTTCTTACTTTTCCCTCTACCTAATATGGCTGTTGATCTCGTTACAATCCTTTTTATTTCCAATCATTTTCTTTAATCTTTTCCTCTGTTTTGTTTCTTTAAATTCAGTATTATGAATCTCTACTTATGGAGGCCAAAAGCAAAAAGAAAAGTACAATTTCAGAAGCGGTGGAGAAGGCTGTAAATTCCAAGATGCAGGATTTACAAGCGAAACTGGAGAAATGTCTTGAGGAAAGAAATGCCGTTGCAGATGTGAGTTTGTAAATGTCGTCCTCTTGAATGGTACTTTTGGTCTGGGTTTCGGCATAGGTATTGTTTTATCGAGTGAAATCACATTTTTTTCTGACAGTCTTTTATTTTTGTTGTGCTTGCTTTTGGGTTTGTTGCTTAGATCAACCGCAGTCTCATCAAGGACCAAGAAACTTGGCGCAGAAAGTTGAAGGAAATCGATGAGAGGTACATATTAGTTTGTGATTATAACTGGCAGTGAATTCTTCCGTTTTGGTATCTTCCATTTGAAACTCCGTGTTCTTTTAGGGAAGCTGCATCGCTGAGGTTAAGAGAGGAAAAGATAGTCGATTTGGAAGAACAGGTACTGCAATTCCAAGTTTGTGCTAGTTTTCAAGTGTTCAGAAGTAGTGCCGGGTTCTTAACAAGTTCTTAACAAGTTTAAACGATGGTTACCGCAGATTAGAGATCTTACGGTCTATATTCGTGCCCAAAAAACACTTGATGACATGAAGGGCTCGGACAGCATAAAAGGCGGAACAGTATTGCCTGTACCTTCAAAGCAATCTTCTCCTGCCAACTCCAGAAGACAGACCAAATCTGGCCGGAGACGGAACTAGAAGATAGCGATCGACAAGTCGTGTATAGTAGTTGAATGCATGTTGAATCATGTAGCGATTTCAGCTGAAATTTTTGTTAACTAATTTTGTTCTAATTGTAAACTGTGAATTGTCATGGAGTGCATATTTGGAGAACTAACAATAATTAAGGACTCGTTCTGAACTTAGCAGTTCTTTTAAAGGGACTGAACACGTTTTTGGTGAATTGATTTTGAGTTGCAAAACCAATTTAAATGCTTTTTGGAAGAAGTATCTGTTCTTTTTGCAAAAACCACCAGATATGTTCTTCTTACAAGAAACGCTTAAAAATGCTTCTAGAATCCAATTGGATTTTTACCAACGATTGGTTTAAAAGTATTTTCATCAAAAACATTTTTAATCACTTTAAAAATACTTTAATATAAGAAACATGTTTTTGGCTAATAAAAGCACTTTCTGAAGAAGCATTTGCCTGAAGCTTCTTTAAGAAAGAGTAATTCCAGGTGATTTCAGCGTCTTTATACTTTATAGTAAAACCGCTTGTAATAAAGTGCTTATGAGCAAAAGTTCTGAAAGAGACCTGTCACAAACGGGTCAATGTAGTAAGAAAGGATCCTCTCCGGATCCCTTCATCCTAATCCACCAAGTTTGAAAATCCGAATCATTAAAATTTGATCCAACGGTTACAAACAGAGGCTCACTTTAAAAGTTATAATAACTTTAACCGTTTGATCAAATTTTAACAACCAGAATCCCCGGACTTGATGGCTTAGAAGGAAAGGATCAGGAGAGGATCCCTTTCCAATATAGTACACTGCTACACAATGGGAAATAAACAACAACAAAGCCGCTTTCTTATTTATCACCAGAAAAATAAATAAGAGTACAGAAAATAAAATGACTAAATCATATCTGGTTCACAATTAAATTAATTTCTAAGATTCTCAGCAACTTACAGAGAAAAGAAAAGGATAATATAGTCTGGCCCTCCAACCAAACCAACTACCATCTTTTGCTGAACCCCCTCGTCGTCCGATCTCGACCTTTCGCCCGGCGCAGCATTTCTTCGAGACTTCAAACTAAATGAGGGGAATTGCCTCACCTTCAAAGGCCACTATAACGAATTCTACTGGGTTAATCGAAGTATCCTAAAACTATAGTACCTAAATCCAGAGTTTTCCCTCAAAAATATAATATGGTGACATCAGGAACTGGACCATCACGGAAGAGAGAAATGCACCTAAGGTCCTCGGTGGAAGCCATGCACACGGGATTGTCACCTTTGGGGTTGATCTGAAGCGGCTGCTCCAGATGTCGCGCTAGGCCCAGCACCATTTTCGATTGGGGGATTAGTTCCCCACTTTCCTTCTGACTCTAATGGCTCAAGTACATGCACTCCACCGTCTGAAAGTCCTAAGGCAAACTGGTTGGGTTCGGATGGATGTGCCGCAACAACGAGAGGATACACCCTTAAGCTGTTAAATTTGTTGTTAGATATGTTAATTACAAAAGGAAAAAGCAAATACATATGTGGACCTTTGTATTGTATTGACAGGAAAATGTACCTTGGATTTGGAGGTAAATAAGCGGTTGGTAGTATTCGGCATCTCAATCTAAGTGTAAGAGCAGTGAGAACCCCAACACTTCCATCTTCAAAGCTAACATAAATTAACTGGCTATCACAGGAATATACAGCATGTGTGATCGGACCACTAACTTCTCGAGGAACCCACTGTATGAGAAACATAGTTCAACATGTAAGCAGCACTAATTAGACCCCAAATAACAAGGTAAAAGCAAACGATTAAACACACCAGAACATCACAATCACCGCAAAATTCATCTTAAAGCTTGCTAGTGCTCTTACCATATGCAAGCAAAGCATTTATGCCAGTGGCATATATATGCAATGATTAAATTTTAAAGCCTATGCAGCAATTGATTCTTTATAATAAATCAGGATAAAAATATACTCAAAAATAAATTTAAGCACAAAAAGCAATGGCACCTGCTTAAGGCATTCCAATTTTGGTGCTTCATATATGGCTATCTGTGTTTCATGAACTGCCAGCAAATGTGTCTGATCTGAGTGAAACTGAACTCGGGTATCAGAAAGGGGAGCAGCAGCCCGGCCACTAGGCATCTGAAGAAATTTACTAGCCTGCTTCTCCCATCCATCCGTGTTCCAAACACATAACTGCGGCAAAGAGAAACAAAAGCATTGATGACTTAATAACCCAGTATCAACATCAAGAAGAGGAACAGAAAGACTATTGGCTGAACAAAAAAAGATTGTCAAATACCGAAAGAATTTTGTAAAGGCCCAAGGCAAGGACTAAGTGAGAAAAAAATTCTAAAGAGATGCACTACAGAAATGCATTTCCTAGTTAGTCACACAAATGAAATGATTTCAAATGAAACGTGAAATTTAACCAGGTTCCAGGGAACCAGGTTTCTATGAAGTTGAAAGTTAAACCATCTGGAAACTACATTGATCCTTTTGGCTTGGCTACTCGTGATAAGTTACTTCTGATAGTCCCCAGTTGAATGCTTAAAGCCTAGTAGCATAGCAAATTGCGTGCATCTAGACTCGCATGTTGTCTAATATTCATACCTGGGAATCAGCCCCCGAAGATACAAGCACATTAAGAGTATGAGAGAAGGCAAGGCCTGTTATTCTTTTCTGATGACCTTTTAGCTTGGTTTTAACCTGTGAAAGGGGAGCATCCAGATTGTAAGCAATCCCCTATTCCAGCTATCATCACAAACTGGCAAAATTAAAGTTCAGAGAACAAAGACCTCACCTCGTCAACCCGTACATTGTAAATCTGGATAGAAGAATCATCCATTCCTATGGCAATGATATTATTGTCTTGAGGATGAAATGCCAGATATGTTGCAGCTGGGGGTGGGGGCATAAATGTTGTCATTGTCTGCAATTCAGACAGCAAGACATTAATACAACAATATAAAACCATAAATGTTGCCATAATTAGGTTTTAATGGTATTTGGGAAATAAGGGTGGGCAAATTGAATATTATGATATAAATTTTCTAGTTTTCAGTAAGTGTGGGAAAGTAGATTGTAGAATGAGCATTGTGAAGGATGGAACAGAATCACCAATTTCAAGCGAGATTGTCTTGTGCACAGCACTATTAAAGGGTTTATAGACAACATCAACAACAAAGCCTTTTCCCACTAAGGGTCGGCTATATTAAAGGGTTTATAGACATGCATATTTAATCAACCAGTACAATACGAGAGAGAAGTTTAGAGGAAACCATCTACCTTAAATGTCATCATATTGAAAAGGGATATTTTCCCCCCTGAAGCTGACATAACATAAGAGTCGTTCTTTGACAGTGCAAAGCATGGAACAGCATCCTCAGGGTTTGTATCACTTATATCATTAGTCATCAATATTCCACTTGAAGGTTGCCATAATTGCGGTAGACTACTGGCTGTGGCCTACAAGAACAACTTTTTGGTAAATGGAAAACTTAAGGATGCAAAAAAAAAAAAAAAAAAAAAAAAAAAAAACATAAATGCAACCATCAGTTTAACTTTTAGGAAATCTAATACCTTTTGTATTCGTTCATTTCTTTGCCATTTCCAGAGCTTGTGTACAGCATTAGATGATAACGCCAACACTGCAAGTCCTGAATTTGTATATATCAATCTAGAAACCTGAAATAATAATCCGTCAGAGCTTCACGATAAAAACATGCATAGTTCTCATGAAAACGTTTTAAAAGAAACAAAAAGCAAATGAATATATTACAGAGATTCACCATGCAGTGATCTTACTAAAATCTCTTAAGGAAATCAGAAATAATTTCAACAGATTAATTTTGCTTTAAGTACAAGTCGCAATAAAAGTCAAGGCACAGTTGTTAAATAGCGAAGGCATAGGAAATATATAATGACTACAAAATATAATGCCATAAAAGCTACAATTCTTAACAATTTAGGACAGAAGAGAATTAATACCCTCATTGCTGTTAAAGTATCAGGGAGCCTCAGAGAGCGGCATTGTGATAGTTCGCTGATTTCAGTCAGTTTCCAAATCCTGGCTTTCTCTACTGACTCATCAGCAATTCTAGGTTTAATGTCGACCAAACTTCTATTGTCATTGTTCTACACAGATCGACAAAGAAAGAGAAGGAGAAGGTTAAACAATCGTATAAAAACACCTTTTTTTACCATTGAAGAAGAAAATTGAACTTCTAGTTTCAAACACATTTCCTATGCATAATAACATACATTTTGATCAGACTGAATATTAAACATAAGTTAAGTTGATGATAATAACATCGTTTAATATAGCATGCTTCCAAAATTTTAGTCACCCATGAGAGAGATCATGACACTCACCAGTCCAACCATGGCTGACACAGGAGCAGCTCGATCTCCAATGCTTGTTCCAATAGGAGTGCTGGAAGGCCCAAATGTTCCTACTGGGGGTGCCTGCATATTAGTGATGCATTTAGCTAACAGATTTTAACAAGGTATGCCAAGTTGAAACAAGCATATAAGTTAAGTTGATGATAATAACAAGGGTGCCTGCATATAAGTTAAGTTGATGATAATAACAAGGTATGCCACGTTGAAACTTTTACCTTCACTGCAGCCGCAGAAGCAGCTCTTGAAGCATCAAATGTGCGACTTTCCACAGTTCTTAGCAACCTAAGTCCATCTGTATTTGCCAGAATTTTAATACCATCGTTCGTTGAGGCAGCTAACAATATTCCTTCCTTGTTAAATCTGATTGTGGGAGAAGCCTGCAGGTTTTTAAGATCATGGTGAGTAATCTGGAAGGAATGGTTTTATTCAGAAAAATAAGTTGTGATGCCTACCGGCAATCCACCATCTGCATCAGTACTCGTCAAAAGGTTAACATTGTCCATGTCCCAAAATTTGACAGTGAACTCATCGCCAGCAGCCAAGAACCGGTTTTTAGTGGTATCAAACTGCACAACCCCAACAGTACGCTTTGCAAGACCATGATAGGTCCGCTTTACAGCTCCTTCACTTTCATTCCACTCCACCAAGTATGAATCCCCTTCTTTATTAGTCCCACACGAGAACAACCTATGTGTTCAGAGAAGATACAAAGACCCATCATAATATAACAGATAAATACTTAATATCACATCACTAATAGAACAATGTCTTTGTAAAGGGTGCAGAAAGTAACCTTGCTCCATCTGCACTGTATGCCATAGTGGT